GCGGCAAAAAGCCGGGAGCCGGCCTGGCCACAGCCCTGCCACTGGAGAGCCAGAGCATCGTCCCCTGGAGCCGAGCCCGGGCTGTGGCGGCAAGAGGGGCTCCCGGAGTGTGTGAGGAGCCGGGGAGGGAGGGAAGCAGGGCCTGGGACGCAGGGAGGGAGGAGGGGTCCTGCTGCCGCCACCGCTGCTGCCCTGAGTCTCCCCAGGGCAGCGTGGCGTTTCCCCGCCCAAGTGGGCCGTGCAGGGCGCCGCCGGGCTGAGCAGGGGGCGTGGATCCCGGCTCGCACGCTGATGGGGCGAGTGGCTGGGCAGCCCAAGCTGCCAGGAAACTGCCCCCGGACCCAGCCCGCCGTGCACCTCTCCTGCCTCAGCCCCGTGCTGCTTGCCCTGGGTCCCCACAGCGCCAGGGGTGGGCAGAGGCAGAGCCCGGCTCCGAGCAGGGCAGCGGGGGATACTGCCCCGCCGGGGGACCCCCGCGGCTCGGGCACCTGGGGGTCAGTGTCTGTCCTCTCGGCTCTGCCTGCACGGGGCTGGGGAAGCAGCTGTCAGCGCCTGCCCCTCTCAGACCTTCACCCCCCATCCCGCTCGCAGCCACTTCACTTGTACCTCCCCCCATCGCTCCTTCACCGCACCCCTTCCCCTTGTACTCTCCCTTCACCCACACCTCTCCCCTTGTACCCTCCCCCAGCCCTCTCCTCCCGCACCTCCCCCTGCACCTCTTCTCCCGCAACCCTCCTGATACCCCCTCTCCTCCTCTACCCTCCTCCGCGAGTGCATCACACCACACTTCTCTGCCAGTGTAGAGCCCCCAAGCACCCCCACACCCGCTCCTCTGTCTGAACCCTCTTTACTAGATCCCCATCCCTTTCTGGGTACAAGGTTTGAGGGTTAGTCCCTATTCCTTCCATGTACATTTGGAGCACTAAAGATGGGGTTGCTGGGGACGGGGGGAGGGAGGCGAGATTTATACTAAAGTGAAATAAAAATAGGAGAAACGGTTTGATCCTCACCGCAAGTGTAAACAGGGATTGCTGTGGTGTATGAGGCGGTCACGTTTGGGGGGGGGAGCCCAGGGCTGGGGCGGCAGGGGGTGTGGGTGGGGCGGGAAGAGAGAGCCCAAGGCTGGGGTGGCAGGGGGTGCAGGTGGGAGAGGGCACTGGTGGCGGGGGGGAGAGCCCAGGGCTGGGGTGGGGAGCAGCCAAAAAATTTTTTGCTTGGGGTGGCAAAAAACCTAGAGCCTGCCCTGATTAGGCCATCCCTCTTTTATAATGTTTTAAGTTAATATGTATTATGTTTTGGGTGAATGAAGATAGACAGGAGATATATCTGTAGCCAATGATTTAAGTTTATTATTCATTTATTGTGTGATTTTATGATTAATCAACATGTTATATCATATATTCATTGTGAGTTAATTAGTAGGATTATAGAAGTATAAGATTGATCAGTATTTACAGGGAATTATGTGTTCGATATAAGTAAGACAAGCTAAAATGCAAGAACCTGTATGTTGAGGCCTGCAAGATTTTAGCTTAGCTATTTTAGGCCTTGGAGACAAGAAATGCTGACATAAGTAAATGACCGAGGAATATGCTCTAAGATTATGGGGGGAAAGGCACCAAGTGGTAATGTTGTGAAAGTCTAGCCAAAAGATTCAATTTTAAATTATAAAACGCTGTAAAAGCAAATCTTGTCTCCAACATGTGTCTTAACACAGGATATAGGTGGTATGTCAATGTTAATGAGAACCTACACGGCCTATGGAATTCAGGTCCCTTATGTTTCTAGGGGACACAAACCAGTAAGAGAGAGTTGACACTTTAGTGTACATGCGCAGAATGTAAGTATAGACAGAATCACATTATAAGAAAGGGCGCCCACAGCGGGAAAACTGAGCTTCCTATGGGAAACCTCCAGCAGGATCCATCCCCATATTGATGATCAAATCAGACTCTAACACCACCTAGGAGGATGTGAGTATGTCTGTAGTTATAACTGGTGCATGGATATATTTAGGACTTGTATATGCTGTAACATTTATAACTTTGTTGGCAGCTTTAATAAAACTAGTAAAAGTAATGAACCTTGTTCTTGTAATTGTGTTACTTGCCTTTGGTTTCATGAGCTCCTTTGAGCAATAAATCTAAAACAAACAGAGATAACTCTTATTAAACTTAAGACTGTGGCCGCCAAAGGCAAACCCACTGTAGTATAACAGTTTGCTAAAATTAACATTAAATAAAATAAAAGGCTACATACCTAACTAAAATAATAAAAACGACCATCTCAGCTCAAGAGCAATGTGCTATTAATTTCTTAATTTATTGCATAATCCTGCCATGTTTGTTGACAGTTGTGTGTGCCAAGTTCTCACCCACAGTTTTCACCCTTCTGCCCATGGAGAGAGATGCTGTTCATTTGGCTGGCTACCAGGCTGGAAATCTCCATTATCATTATCTGACCTGCCTGCATCAGGTGCCTTATCCTAAACCATTAAAGTGAGTCAAAAAGAGTGTTCTTCCCTCCCAAATAGAACACAGCTGCTTTTTGTAATGCATATGACTTGCATACCCTCGTCTACGCTACCAACTTATGTTAGTATAACTACGTCACTCAGGAGTGTGGAAAATCCACACCTACCGAATGACCTACCTCCTGGTGTAGACAGTGCTCTGTCAACAGGAGGGCTTCTCCCATCAACATAGCTACCGCCTCATGGAGCGGTGGAGTACCTACGCTGATGGGAGAAGCTCACTAAACACTACAGCAATGCAGCTGCACCAGTACAGCTATGCCGCTGCAGTGCGGTAAGTGTAGACAAGCCCTATGTCCCTTCATAGAATGCCTGGAAAGAGAAACTCTTTGTGGAGACCATTTATATATATATGTATTTCTTACCATGGAGGATAAAACTCCTGTTTTATGCCGCTCCTATTGCTTATCTACCTGAGTTTTGAGTATACAAAACAGTAATGTACCTGTCTTTGTATTCCACTTCCCTGTATGCCTGTTTATTCACAGTTATAAAGGATTTATAAACAAGAAGGTTTAATCTCATCGCAAACTCTCCTTGATAACATGTTACTCTGCTACTTCAGGGAGTCAGTCCTTTACCATAAATAAATTATACAGTATAACAAATTTAAATTCTCCTCTACTAAAATCACCAAATATTTGTTAGTCACTTTCAGTTACAAGGAGCTGAACCTTTATTTATAATAGGCACATAGGAAAATAAAAACATGATCACCATTTTTTTCCCCAGTAAAGTCAAAGATTTGGGGTGAAATCCGCACGCTGTTGAAGTCAATGGGGAAACTCCCATTGGGCCAGGAGGTCACCCTTTGCCTGTGCTGTGCATGCATGGTCTCCACAGCAATACAACTGTTCTCACAGAGGGAAAATGTTGCATTTGCCGTTTAAGAAAAGGTGATATCTAAAACACAGCATTGCTTGGGTCTGTGAAGAAAAGAATAAAGAGCCAGTTAAAAATATAAATCAACACAATAGCCCTGCACCAATATCTCTGCAAAAGTCATTATACTGGATTCAGTCACATCTTATTTTTAGGCTGTCTGCCTAACAAATCCAAACTAGCTATGACTGCCATCCCAAAAGCTGTCTACAAGGTCATGTACTTCTGGCACTTACCAAAACATAAGTAGATATTGCAAAATACTCTTTTGTGAGTAAGTAACATCCTTGGATGTTCTTAGGTATTTGCATACCATTAATTCTGTAGGAACTGGTTAATTTCTGTAAACATAACAACCCAAATAGCTGGTAAATTCACACTATATTAAATAGGAACACAATTAAATCAATCATTGAATACCTACACACATTCCTGGTGACCAAAGTACCCATTTTGATACTTTAAGCTAGGGTGGGAAACCTATGCCCATGGGCTGGATCCAGCCTGTTGCTTAATTTCACCCGGCCCATGGCAAGCCCCAAGCTGTGAGCACAGGCTTGCCCTGCCGCGGGCGGGAAGCCCCGAGCATCGATGCCCCCTCCCCTCCCCTGCAGAGCTGTATGTGGCTCGACACTGATTTTTTCTGTGGGCCAATGGCCCATGATAGAAAAAAGGTTCCCCACCCCTGCTATGAGCATCCTGTGACCTTAAGAAACCCTCAGTGCCAATTGGCAATGGGATTACAAGAATATCCTGATATGTACATTCTCGTTCACCGAAGAATATCACGAGGTCTTAAATGAAAGCCAACAACATGTTGGTTGTTAATATTGTTGTGAAATGTGTGTACAGTAACTATGTAAGGAGTTGTGTGTATATTGGGAATATGTTCCTAAAGTCTGTATCAAGACAGAGTTAACAAACAAGTTTTCTGTCATAAAAAAGATGTTTATCACCTGTCCCACTGGCATGTAAATTAAGCATATAAATTAACACAATGGAGACTCACTAACATATGAAGTCAATGGGAGGGTTGTGAACTCAACAGGGAGGCAGCACACCAGAGAATAAGCGATGAGAATAGAGGTCATCCAAATTCTGAAGTTCAGACAATGAACTTTGGGGAATATAAGGAGAAGGCACGGAAGACAATCCTTTATCCTGCACCTAGCAAATAACTGGGCAGTGCAATTACATTAATGAAAACAGGATCACAACCTGCCATGGCTGGAAATGCTGCAAAGGACATTTGGATGAGATAAACTTTAGACAGAAAGTTAGCCTGTTAGGTTTAGTCTCTAGAAATCATGTTATAAATATACATGTTTTATGTAACCCTTTTTGTTCCCTTTATCCTTTTTCATTGTCTCTTGTATCTTGAATCTTTGATAATAAACTTATTGCTGTGCTTTCTTGCACCCTCCAATGACCTTCTGGGTCTCCAGGTACCACATCCTCTCTGCAATGCTCCATTTGGGCTGGTTTGCTTAGCTAACCTCCTCCATCTGGGGCATAAATTCCTTCTAGTGATATCACAGGAAAAATGTGTGCAACTTGGGACCCACAACATTCCTGGAGGATTACTAGACATCCTTCCCAGCACCTCCACTGAGCTGTAACACATGGTCTTTGCCTGAGGGCAGTCTCCAATGAACCCTGTCTGGTGAGATGGTAAAAGGGGCCTTTGGGACTGGCACTCCTGGTTTCTAAAGTGACACTGCACTGTTATCAGTCAGTACTACCTCCACATTTGGCTAAAATGTCATCAGTCTGCCCAATATAAAATTATAGCTCGCAAGTTTCAGCACTGCTTGACTATAATAGAGCATCTGTCACTACAACTGAGTCCATGACATTCTGCTTCCCTACTACTTCTGCCTGAAAGCCAATAGGGCTTTAATTCATTCACCTGCATGCAAAATTACAGATGTAGTCTGCTGAGCTCAGTGCTGGGCTTCCTCTGTATAGCCTTAGGCAAGTCACTTAAACGCTCTTTGCCTCAGTTTTCCGATCTGTAAAATGGAGATAAGTCTGACCTACTTACAGTGTGTCGAGGACTAATTAATGGTTGTAAAGTGCTTTGAAAAAGAAAAAGTGAAATGAAAGCACTACTGTAGGTAATATGATTGACTCAAGAGTCAACATTCAACATATTAAATGAATCAACCAGAAATGCTGGAATTTTGCTGAAACCTGCCATATTTGAGCCTCAGCAGCTCGATGAACTCTAGTACCTCATGACTGGAGGTCAGTGTGAATGAAAGTGCCCTCCCTAGTTCTGGAAGGTGAATTCCAAAAGAGCTCACAACTTACACACAATTGATTTGTATGTAGTTCTATTAAAAGAGCAAGAGGAATTAGAAAGTTTATATTGTGTGACCACCTTTTCTGCCCATTGCTTATGTTGACATGAGGAGTGTGATGGCTAGTGACATACCGAAATACAAAATGAGTAAACATTTACTATGTCAAGTTGTCCGTTGTTTCATCTAAAAACTGTATCTCTTGAAATCTTTATCTTCATCGATGAGTGCTGTAGCAAATCCAAGGCATTTGGGACATCAATGTCACTACACACCATACCATGGCCACTTGGAATTTCATAATGATAGTGAGGATGTAGCTCAAATCCTCCCGCTCCAAAAGCACAGGTCCTACTTCTTGAGTTAAAGGAGACTCTTCATTAATGGCTAGCAGTACAGAGCCTATGGCATACAGTTGAGCAATTCTAATTATAGTCTGTAGAGGATACATACACAGTACTCAGCTCATTACATGATTATAACCAATGCCTCTTTCTTAATTGTAGTGTCCCTGATTTTAGGGTCAGTTTTTCAAATTTCCTCCTAAATTGCACCCATGGGGTTTGCCTCTACATCTGCAGAATCCACCACTTTTGTGCCCGCGCTCCTTGACCCTGCCTGACCATTTGCACACGTACCTCACATTGACCTCTGTCAAGTCCTCATTTATGCCGTCAGTTCTGCCAGCCTGTGCTAGTACAGGGTTTATGGGCACAGCAGAGATGGGCACAAATAAGCAAAGCAGGCAGAGGCAGGTTTGGGAGGCTCTCTCTCAGTCCTCGCTGCCCGCCCTCTTCAGGACAGGGTGGCATTAGTCTGGAAAACCCTCGTCCACTCCTCTTTCTGTCTCCCCCTAGCAGTCTCCTTCTTCTCTCCTTGCCTTGCCGCCTCCTCCATCAGATCCCTGGCAGCCCCCTCCATTACCCTCCTCCTCCACTCCTGGGAGCCTCCCTCTCACTCCCTCAGCCTCCCCAGGTACCCTCTTGCCCTGAGACCCTTCTCCCCCTCAGGAGGCTGCAGCCTCCCCCTTAGAGCCCCTCCCCCTCTCCCTGCCCCCGCAGCAGCCTTTTCAGGTTCCCATGGCAACCTCCTCCTCCCTCATACCCCGCCCCTCCCCACCTCGCCTCCATTCATGCCCAAGAAGCCACGCCCCCTCCCCTGTCACGTGACCAGGGCCCCAGGCTTGTCCCCCACCCGGGCTTCCCCAGCCGCTTCCGGGTGGGTGCGGGGCTCCGCGGCGGCGGTCCTGAGGCGGAGGGGGAAGGCGGCCGTCAACATGGCGGCGCGCAGAGCGGGCAGCGCCTGAGCCCGGCTCCCGGCCCCTATCCCCCCGGCCCGGCCCGGCCCGGCCATGGAGAGCGAGGAGGAGCAGCACATGACCACGCTGCTGTGCATGGGCTTCTCGGACGCGGCCGCCATCCGCAGGGCCCTGCGCCTGGCCAAGAACGACATCAACGAGGCCGTGGCGCTGCTCACCAACGAGCGGCCCGGCCTGCACTACGGCGGCTACGAGCCCATGGACAGCGGGCAGGGCCAGCCGGGGCAGGGCGGGCACGGCTCGCCGGCGGGCGGGCAGGGCTCCCGCGGAGGGGACGGAGACGGCGGCGGGGGGAGCGGCGGAGGCGGCGGCGGCGGGTTCGATCCACCTCCCGCTTACCATGAGGTGGTGGAGACCGAGGTGAGGCGCGGGGGGCTGCCTGGGACGGGGCCCCTCACAGCTGCCTTCGCTCCCGGGCGCTGAGAGGTGTCAGCCGGTGCCGGGCTGCACCTAACGGGCCGGCCGGTGTCTCCTCATCCCCGGGTTAACGGGCTGATCCCGGCCCGGGAGGGTGGGATAGCGACCCTCTTAGCCCAGCCCGTCCTCTCTGCTCAGCTCCCACCGCTCGCCTGGCAACACGTTCGGCCACCTCCCACCCAGCCCCAGGGCAAAAAATACCTGGCAGGGGCCCCAGCATCTTGGTTGTGAGGGTGCCGGTCTCTGACTCCACCCGACCTGGATGACTGGGCTACTGGGCCAAAGGCATCGGGGAGTTAGTAGGTTTCCACTGCTGCGTTGGGGCGGCTCCAAAACTCAGTGGGTGCACGGGTGAGTGCTGCTCTTGCTGCTGGCAGAGCACAAACTGATGGTGGTTTTAGCTTCTCCCACAATATGGATCCTGTTGTAGATTGCCCCCAAAATGGAGCAGCTCTGCCCTTGGCATGTGGTAGTCAGTTTCAGCCATCATCAGCTCAATTAATTCAAGGTATCGCTGCCCCCCCTTCTCCCCCCCCCCCACTAAAAGCATAGGATGGAATTTTTCTCCTGTTTGGTGACTGTGGAGAAAATATGCTGTATCTATTTATTTCAGTTTCTAGAAAGTGAAGTGCTTGCCATTGGCTCTAAGCATTCTAGGAACATAGTATTAACTGGCTTTGCCAGGATTTTTTTTTCTTTGCCTCATTGCATCAGCCAGGTGGCTCTACACTGTAATGTTCTTTTATTATTATTTTATTATTTGGTTAAAAGAGGGGGGAAAAAAAGAAAAAATACAGTGTGATTACCTTGCTTTACTTTGCACAAATCAAAATAGAGTTGGGTTTGTTACTGGATGCTAGGTTAATACAGATAGAAGTAATGGAAATAAGAATAAATGATAACTTTAAAAGATGGTGAACTGAAATAAAAATGCCTTAAAATATTGATTTTTTTTTCAAACTTTATAATTTAAACTTATCTGTATTTCAGAATAGCTTTTTGATGATAAAAGTACTGAAGAATATTGTCCCTTCACAACTTTGCCTCTTCCTACTGGTCTGCTTTTGTCTCTTCTCTCATCTTTCCTCTGCTCTGTCAGTTATGTCAAGCCTTATTGTCAACCCTTATGCCAGCTTCTCATGCAAACCTCTTCATGCCTCCTGTGCTGCTTCTCATGTGTGGGTGCCTTCTCTGACCTTAGGTGTAAGGCCATTACCCTTTCTTCCCTCAAATCTGAATTCAAAACTCACCTTTCCCATGATGCCTTTAAGAAATGAGGCAATTAATGTCTAGGTTGTTGAATATAGGGGGATGGCTGGTGCTTATCTGTATTTTTTAAATGTTGCTCTGTGTGTGTATGTGTAGGTATATGTGTATACCCTACGTTACTGTACCCCTACTTTCACTGCATCACTTTACTTAGGCAAACCTTAGGCACATGAATAGTCCTATTGAACTCAATGGATTAAATCTTCAGCAGATATGCTATGATGTACACCAGTGGAGGATCTAGTCTGATGGATTATTTTACATGCATGTTACTCATGTGGAGATGTCTGCAAGATCAGAACCATATATTGTTTGAATCAACAAAGTTACAATGGATAAAACAAAAACTGGTTTTTAGTGTCTCTTGGAGAGGCTGGTGGGGGGCGGGTATCATGGTCCCAATATGTGTAATCTGTTGTCAGTAAGCAGTTTATGACCAAGAGGAAGGGATATTTAACATCTCTAATTTCAAATAAACATGTATAGTTACACATGAGATAAGATGCTTTTTTCAATATGATATTTAAAGGGACACTGTCCATTTAAACATTACATTTGTCTTCTTTTTTTTAACCTATTCTTGTTACAAATGATATCTAAGATTATGATACTACCTCTGAAAGAATAGAGGGGGAAATTCCTTTGTTTGTATATTTGATGCTTTGTGTATAGTGAACTTCACTGTTTCCTTTTCACAGTAAAATATTTCCCTTTTAGTGGTGGTGTTACTGAAACTAGGGAAACAAAAACAAAATACAGAAAATATGACAAATTGCAGTACAACTTCAGCAATAGGATCCACACAGATGCAAGGGTTCTTCCACACTGACAGATCTGATTACAAGATTGAGAGCCTCATTTTTTGTAATGTGAAAGTCTTACTTACAGGAATAGTTTAGAGAACAAAATTAGATGTTTTTGTATTGCATTGTTACAGTTCTTCACTTATTCCAGTTTTTCCTCTTTAAGGTATGAGGTGTGACCTGCTATTCTATTTTGTGTTTATTTTTTTAAATTGTAATCTGGAGCATTCCTATATATATACTTATATGAGGAGACTACTATAATAGATACCTTCTGAAGCAGAGCTTCAAGATATACAGTTGGTTAAAGAGACGCAGGCCACTGAGAAATATTTGTTTGCAACATAAGATGCTCTTTCTCTTACTAATGCTAGCTTACATTATTAAAAACTAATACATTTTAAAATCCAGTTTACATTTTAATTTAATTGTTTGTTTCTCATCATGGACAATGAAAATTAATCTCAAGTTCTTAATGTTGCAGTGTTCAGGGAAATTGCTTGAGTGGGGGCTGGTTATGTTCTATAAAAGCTTGTTTTTACAAAATTAAAATTTTGGCCAAATACATGTTGATCCTTTTTCTTGTTTCCTTATAATAATTTTAGGTGCCCCCTTTGTGCTTCAGATGAGTTGTTTCTGGGATAATTTTAACGAGGTTTTAAATAAGGTCGTTCTCTTGAGTATCCATGAAACTTTCCAGAGAAAAATATTTCCACAGCATTTGGATATTCCTAGGAACACCTATCTGTCATGTTTGTTGTGATTACTAGAGTTGCTTGTTAAGCACTTGTATTCAGTTTTTGATAAATAAGGTGATGGAATTTAGAATAGTCATATAATTCACTTGCTGATTATGATGCATGCCATGATGACGGGTTATATTATTACCGAATTCCCTACCCTGAGCTACCAAAAAAGTCTGTTCAACCATCATCCACTCCATTAATCTTGGAGATATATCAGGGGGAGCCTGTTTGCTTGCTGCTTTATTTGCCTGTGTGGGCATGGAGTCCATTAAATTTAAGGCTTTAAAAAATAAAATAAAATAGACATCTTGGAGACCTTTCTGAGCTCTTAATTCCCCTTATACTGTCCTGTTCTTTGAGGCCCCATGGGACTGGGGCTTTTGAGCCTGAGGCTTGCAAGAAGAGATAGTGTCTGTATCTTGGTGGCTCTGGAGTTGTGGGATCTCTTCTTTTTAGAACTTTATGGTAACAACTTAAGACCCGTTTAGAAATAAATGTGAAATCATTTTTTTTTTATTTCAGTTTTAGTATGGCATGTTTCTTATTTTTCAGACATCAAGGTTTATTCTCTTGAGTTACAAATTATAAACTTTGATTCAATGATTAAAATGCCTAAGCTGCTTGTAAATAGATGCTATGTACATTTAATAATAAAGTCAGCGATAATGTACACTGTAATTGCATAAATAATATACTTGTTAATTTGTTTTTACATTGCACATCTTAAGGATATGCAGCCTAAGGCTAGACAAAGCCAAAGGATGAGAATCTAAAAGGTGTAGTGTTCAGATAAAATCCCATGAAAACACAGGAAAGGAAGAATTTAATCAGGAAGGTAATATCTTGATCAGCAATACTGTGCAGTACATTAATAAAAGTATTGTAATTAATAATATCTCTTGGGCCTGGCTCCCTGAAACTCACTCATTCACCACAAAGCTTAAACCAAGAGTCTATCTACCTGTGCCCACCTTCAGTGAATGGATTAAACATTTGTTATGTGGGGAGAAGATATAAGGAACTTTCTCATCCTTTGATCGCAGTAAGGATTGTGGCTGTTATATTGTTATCATCCTCCTCTAAATGGATCAAAATAAAAATTCTCCTGTGAAGGCAGAAACTGATGTTAAAGAGAGAATTTGGTGGTGAGGAAAATTTAGAGGGCTGGGAGCTCATTATACAACTTAAACCCTGCAGTATGACAGAGTAGTAACTTGCTGTGTGCTTCACTCATACTAGTTGCACTTGCTGATCTGCAATTTTATGTGTTCGTTTCATTTCCTAACTTTACAATTAAAAAGAATCCGGAATTCATGTTAGTTTTTCAGGTTTTTTAAATAGGAATTTCCTTGGTGCTCACTCCCTAGTATCTGACTAGTTCACATACCTGAGATGTTACTGCATTTTTCAGCTGCCAATCTAATTAACAGTGATGGCAGGGAAACTGAAACTGGGATCCAGTGTCTGATTCTTGCTGTAGTCCTGAACCAGGGTCACTGCACACCAAGAGCCAGTAGTACAAAGTTTGATAGGCTTCATTGGGATAAAGATGTGTACTTTCTATTTTTGTGAATCTGGTTGTTAGTTTTGACCGGTATCAGAGGTCTGCTGCTCTCTTTCCCCCCCATCTTATCTTCTCCACTGACTGACACTTGTCTGGAGTGCTGAGCAGGGCAGAGCTGAGGCCCTTGCTCAGTATCGACTTCAGGGGTACTGCAAAATGGGATCCTCCAGCTTGGGGAGTACTGCAATTCTTGAGCCTGGCCAACCCTTGAGATGGGATAGCCACTATAAAGTTCTGAAATGTATGAGATAGGAAAAGGCAGCAAGTTTTCTGTTCCGCATTTACTTCTGGCATATAATGCTGTTGAAAAGTCAATGAACACAAATTATAGTAATAGTATTCAGCATACACTAGCATGTTTCTGTTGAACTTCATGTTAGCATTTTAAGACTTGCCAGAAAGTATGCACAGTAGAGTAAATATGATATTGCCTCTCTCTCTCTCTCTCTCTCTCTCTCTCTCTCTCTCTGTTAAATATATTTCTAGATTATCACTTCACAAGTGGCACACAGTGCAGGAGTGTTATGCTTTTTTTTATCTAGATGGTATGTTTCAATACAGTTCATGAACCTGTGGATGGAATTTTTATTTTTTACTTCAAGATGTTTTTCTCTAGACAGAACTGTGGTGGTCTGGTGAATTACATTGTATCAGTGTGTTTGCCTTACAAAAGTTACCATTTTTTGTAATACAAAATGGTAGAGCTTCAAGCATGATACAGGTTATAGAACGGGTTTGTATTCCACATTTTTATTTGGAGTTCTGTTGCCTCTGTATAATTCCTACTGCAGGTGTAAATAGATTTATAAATGATTGAGTGCTTTACGTAGTGGTGACTGTGAAGGAAAGTGTGACCATTATGCAGTCGCTAATATACGCAGAAACTTGGATGTTAGAATCTGTTATGTTGAGTGAGGGAGAATGTTGGCCAGAACAGAGGTTCGTTCACCTTTTTGCCTTTTGAAGATGACATGACACTGGATAGGTATTGAATGCTGGAAGATAACATGAAGGATACCAGATCAGCTGCCCCTCTCCTTCCCCCCAGGTACTGCAGTGTCAGCCTGGGAGGGGATCCCTAATCGTGGTGTGAAAACTGA